GAATCGTAGCTGTTGCCCTCCCGCCACTTTCCAAACCTCGATCTGTACAACTTGTCTTCCTCTGATTTGCGAGAGGCTCATGTTCAAATCTGAACCGTTCGCAGCTACTTCTCTCCGATTTCATCGAGCTTTGCAGCCCGATCATTTCCATTCCAGCATCCGAGCCTCCCAGGCTCGCGAATTCACTTTCGTCGTAGGCGTGGGTTCCGCCAAACAGGAGCTGCTGTCGCACGCCCCGAGAACAACCTCCACGTGACCCCCTCGGTCGTGGTGCCCCCTCCATGTCTCCCTCCCGGTCGCTGAGATCGTGAATGCCTCGCGAAAGGCGACCTTGTGTTGCCGAACAGGAAACAGGCCACAACATATCTCTTGCGAATGTCGTGAATGTGGTTACATTGCCAAATACCACCAAAACTGTTCGTCAGGATGTTCGTCAGGGTAATCCACTGATGCACGAGATTGGGTCACCATTCTGACCCCCCTGCCACTGCTGGGCTACCCTCCCCACCACCCATCTCTCCTCGCCTCCTCTACTTCAACCTCCTTTCTCTTGCTCACCTCCATTCCAGACTGTGCATAGCTCCTTCGGTGGCTCTGAAGTGGAACAGCTCTTGCTGGACTCTGCCCGTGGTACTCTACTAGGTGCAGAGATCACAGCGAATCAGCATGGTGCGTGACTTATCGGTGCAGACTATATCGTTCCGTGTAGCGTGTTTAGGTGTGTGAAATCTGTCATTAAGCTGACGTGACGGCGTGCTGCCTTGTGTCTGTCCAGGGTCGTGGTGGTTGCGAGGGCGAGGTCACCAAGGCTCGCGTCGCAGCCGTGGAGACCGTCGCCAGTAATGCAGGCGGGCTCACGAAGCGATCCGTCGCCGGATCCAACGGCAATGCGGCGAAGCAGTTCACCATGGACGAGGTGTCCAAGCACAACCGCCCAGGGGACGCCTGGGTGGTCGTCCAAGACAAGGTCCGACTCGAATCCGCAACTGTCTTAATCTATACTAGTTCCGATTCTGCTTGTCCGGGTTCTGTCTTGGTTTCAATTCATTCATTATTCTGTCTGATCTGGACATTATTTATCCCTTGTCGGTCGATCGTGCAGGTGTACGATGTGAGCGACTTCGCCGACCGGCATCCAGGCGGGCGGGTGATCTACTCGCTGGCGGGTCGCAACGCTACTGACGTCTTCGCCGCCTTCCACAAGCAGTCCACCAAGTCGTTCCTCGCCACGCTGCAAATCGGCGAGCTCAAGGTATCCCCTCATTTGATTGCGGTAGAAGCGATGAAGTTCATCGAATGAACCATAGTCGTCCAGCAATAACCACCAAAGTGAACGTCAGTTGCGCTAGTGGCTTCGTAGTCTCCTTATAACACGTGAAACCAAAAATCCTACCCGTTCTGCAAAATCTGCACAGTGAGGGATAGTATAGTACATGTCTAGCCTTTTCCCCTCAGGCTTATTACGATTAGGGAGCCATACGGCACATATCTAATCACTAAAGGCTTCTCGATTGCTTGCCGCTTCGTCCGCTACAGGACAGCGAGGTCGAGCCGACCGGCGATCTGCTGAAGGACTTCCGCGATCTGCGGTCGTCGTTCGAGGCGAATGGGTACTTCAAGAGCAGTCTGGCGTACTACCTGTTCAAGGTGCTGTCGACGGACGCCATTGTCGCCGCCAGCATCGCCATCATCATGTGGACCTCCGACCCGCTCTGGGTGCTCTTCTCCGGCATGCTTCTCGGCCTCTACTGGCAACAAGTCGGCTGGCTCTCGCACGACTTCCTTCACCACCAGGTCAGCACCACACCCACCCCTTGTCACAGAAACTGGTTGTCTTCGCTATGCATGAGATAAAATAGTAAAACTGGAACCGCGAGCTTAGACACACGCATGCAGCACGCGTTCAGCCCTTTATCACCGATACACTTTACAGTGAAAGACTGCAGCGGCTGACGTAGCTTCGTGTCGCGCAGGTGTTCCAATCGCGGTTCATGAACACGTTCATCGGCGGGTACATTCACGGCAACCTGGCCATGGGCTTCAGCACCAACTGGTGGAAGAACAAGCACAACACGCACCACGCCGTGCCCAACGAGTGCGACAAGGAGTACCGCCCAATTGACCCCGATATCGACACTCTGCCGTACCTGGCGTGGAGCGAGGACATTCTCGCGACCGTCAAGAGCAAGACCATTCGCTCGCTGCTGCGCTACCAGAGCCCGCTCTTCTTCCCCATCCTCTCCTTCGCCCGCTTCGCCTGGTACGCGGATCTTCACCACCATAAACCTTGCAGAACCGCACGTCCTAATCGTCTCCCGTTGTTTCTGTAGGCGGGCTTGCCTCCAGGAGTACCTTTATGCGTAGAATCCTCACAATGTCCCCCCACGACCCGCCATGCAGGTCGTACGCGAGCCTGACTTACTGCTTCTCGGACGAGGTGGCTCCGAAGGAGCGCTTCTATGAGCGGCTGTTCATGGTGCTGCACTACGTGTGGGTGCTCGGGTTCGGGTTCGGCTGCCTGCCGTTCTGGAAGGGCCTCATGTGGATGCTGACGGGGCAGATCTGCGGAGGGCTGTTCCTGGCCGTGGTGTTCGTGCAGAGCCACAACGCCATGGAGATCTACAACGAGGGCAAAGACTTCTACACCGCCCAGGTGCGCTGCGCTGAACTGGCATGGGTACCAGATTGTGTGTTACCAGATCTGTGTCTGAATGCTTCATAAGAGGAAACTGGCAAGGGTAACAGAATATGTAGGCCTGGGTACAGTCCTGCTGGAAAGATGTAGTAACTTTTAACTGTGTGGTGCAAACGCTGGCTTCAACTTCCATTTACCATTGCCCACCTTGAACCCCCTTACAGATTGTGACCACGCGCGATGTGAACGGCGGCCTCTTCAACGACTGGTTCACAGGCGGGCTGAACAGGCAGCTGGAGCACCACCTGTTCCCTACCATGCCGCGGCACCACCTGGGCAAGACGTGCAAGGCAGTGAAGGAGCTGTGCGAGAAGCACGGGCTCGTCTATGAGGATGTGTCCTTTGCCAAGGGCACGTCGCTTGTGCTCGAGCATCTTAGCAGAATTGCAGAGAAGGCCTGAGGTGATACTCTCGTCGTAACACACCACATTGGGCTTAGAACTTCACAACGTCTGTGTTGCACAAATGGTGGGTACGTGCAGAATGCTACTTGCCCTGATGGCATCTTTTTGTGTGTCTAGGAAATGGAAGTATTTAATAGGCACAAACTTCCTACTCTTGTGCTAGCAATAAAGTTACCATCACTTGTCTTTGTCTGAAGTTGTACAAACATACGGTATCACTTGTTTTATGGTTGAAAAGGGATGTTACAGATTGTTATGAGTTGTCAAAGAGGGTGCGCAGGCAAACGAATAACGAGGCTGTGACTGAATCAACTTATAATACAATGAACGCGCAGACTAATGTAGGGCTAGCCTAGCTAGGAGGACACCTCGGACGAGCGAGGTTGGGTGCAGGTTTGGCGATGGAAATGCCGAAGGCAACGCGAGGAGCTTCGGCAGCGTTGAAATCGGCCGAACGTGCGAACTCCGAAAATCGGGTTGTACGCGAAGCAGTCAACCCCGATAAGGAATTCGGGAAAATTCCTTACACAGATATTAGCATGGCACTTACATTCAAGATTCTTGAGATGTTACCGGTAGCTTTGCCACCAGTGCAGCAGAAGATGGCAAAATGTGCACCATGGTTGCACCCGCCCCAAGAACTGCACACTGAAATTGCTCTGCCCCCAGAGCTATACTGAAATTGCTCTGTTGGTTTGGTTGGTTGGTTGGTTCTGCATGGCACAATTGTCTTGTCTTGGTGGGCGGGCATTATATCCAGCTGGCTGGCGGCGGTCTCTCGTAGGCTGGACATGCACTCATGTCTCGATGATCATGTACGGTATGCGTCTGCTGCTGAGTAATTATTTTTCATGGTCAGGTTCGGATCAGGGCCCGTGCTAGGATTTGGGGCACCCTGAGGCCTCAGGGCACCTTTCCAGAATCGTAAAAAATGCCCTGATTTGTCAGGGCAAATTTTCGAACCCTTCCTGTATGTTCAGGGCTTTTTCAGAAATCAATCCTGACCTGTCAGGGCAAAAAAACAGGTGTTCAGGGTTCAAATTAGTTGGTTGGTTGAAGTTATATATACGGCTGCACGGGGGTGGATTCGATCCTATGACCTCATCTATCGGAACTACCTTTCTACTGACTCGGCCACTTCTGGATGGTTGAGTGCTATGACCTCAGTTATCGGAACTACTTTAATACTGACTCGGCCACTTCTGGATGGTTGAGTGCTATGACCTCATCTATCGGAACTACCTTTCTACTGACTCGGCCACTTCTGCATGGTTGAGTAGTAGAATGAGTGCTAAACGACAACTTGTTTACGGAGACAAAAATCCCCAGGAAGGGGCCCCCCCTCCCCCCCCCCCCCCCCCCCTCCCCCCACCTAACAAAAAACGCGTCAGGGCAGGCCTACAGCGAACGCTACAGGGAAGAACACTACAGCCATTCTGAATGTTCAGGGCACTTCATATAAAAACATCCTAAGATCTCAGGGTTAAAATTTACACTATTCTGAAATGACAGGGTAAATTTAAAACTGCATCCTGAATTCAGGGTAATCAGGATGTTTTGCCCTGATAACGTGGGGCCTGGTTCGGATGTCCTTAGTTGGCTGCCCGGATGTGCTTGCTCAACCGGTCCAGCCTACGCGCATCACTTGCTTGGTGGGTCTCACTCGGTAAGGTGTGCGACATCTCTATCTCTTTGATGGGGAGGGTGTACGTACTGGTACCTGTGTTTAACAAGGCAAACCTGCTTCCTTTTGCTGGGAAATTTTTCTGCCTCAGTTTGGTTGTGTTGTGGGTGTACCGGTACCTTACCATACCTGACCGTACCTCACCGTATGCATGACCTTATGATACCTTACCATACCTCAGCAATGCATCCTTAATCAATTGAAATCCTCGCACTAGCTAAATATGCATCGCTACTACTGCTATTGCGATTGTTGCTGGTGTTGTTGCCTCTGGGTGACCTGTGAAGAGAAGACGTGGACGCAGGGAGGACAAATACCACAGGAGATTAGAATTGAAGGGGGAAGGTTGTTGCCGGGGAGACAACAAGGGGCAAGAGGCATGCACGAGAAACCAGCTGAGAATAAAGGCAGGAGCAAGACTCAATAGAGCAGAGAGGAGCATAGAGGAGCAGGGAGGAGCAGGGAGGGGCAAGATGACATCTCATAGCGTAGCAAGCAATCGTTTCACCCTCCCTTCCATCCATCCCCGCTCCCCCCTTCCCATCCTCCCCTCTTTCTCTGCTTCCCTTCTTACCACTTCTTTTCTTCCCTCGTCCCTCCCTTTCTGCCTCCTCCCCTCCTCCCCTCCTGTCCTTTAGTGGTACTGCAAGCACGTTAATGCTGTTGCCACAACCACACCTGTTGCGTGATGGTTGGGAGAAGGGGAGAAAAGGGAGTATGAAGCTTATACCAGCGAGGGCGACGGCAGAAGGAAAACAATCGAGCGAACATATGGTAAGACTAAATCATTGGAGGACATCAACAGAAGTGCCGATGCAGCTGAAACCCCATATACTCTCCCTTGCAACGAGAGAGGATAGAAACGGAAGTTGCAAGATGCGGGAGTGTTAAAGCAAGTCATAGGGAAGGGATGGAACTCACCTGCTGCACCTGAAACCCCACATGCTCTTCCTTGCACTGCCTGTTGTTGCTTCGGCTGCCATCGCTGCTTCAGCCCGGCTGGAAAAGCAAGCTGCAGGGAGGGGAAATGGCAAAAGGCAGGTTGGGAAGGAGGGGGAGGGTAAGAAACTGCAACTCAGCACACCAAGCAGCGAGACAGCAAATGAACACCAGCAAGAGAGAGCGAAGCTGGAAGAAAGCCAGAGAAGCGATGGAGAAGAATGGGTTCTACCATTTCGGCTTGAACCCCTTAGAGAACCATGCTGTCACGTTGATGCTGCTGCTACAACCATGCCTGCTGCTTAAAAGACGGGAGAGGAGGAAAAAAAGGGAGAGAAGTGGAGAGAAGGGGAGAGCTGGGGAGCTAAGGGGAGTGTGTTCAGAGGGGCACGTTCTCGGATGCTTAAACAAGCCAAGCGCAATGGCTGAAGCAAAATATGCAAGGGCAAACACGGTATAACAAAAAAATCGGGGATAGAAGTGGGAGTGCCAACGCAGCTGAAACCCACGTACTCCCCCTTGCAACCACGGAGGACGGAGATAAAAGTTACAAGAGGCGGGAGTGTCAAGGGGAAGAGATGGGAAAGGGACGAACTCACCTGTTGCAACTGAGACCCCACATGATTCCACGTGTGCGTGTGTGCTCATGGGCACCCATGAGTGACGCTGAGCACCCATGCCAGGGCCGTTTCGCCCTCCGCGTTCCCCCTTCCGCCCTTCTCCTGCCCCCCCTCCGCTCTTCTCCCGACCTCCCTCCGCCCCTCCCTCCCCCACCCTCCGCCTCCAGCCCCTAGCGTCCACAAGACGTGAGCATAATTGCATCAAATGACGCCTGCTCACGCCCCACTGAACCTTCTTGCTCCGGCCGGAGGTGTTGACCCTCGCAGCAGCGAAGCGCACACAAGACAGGAGCAAGCACACGGGAGGGTGCGTCAGAAGCATCAGAGGAGGCGGACTGAGAAATAAGTTCACTTGAGGTCTAAGACTTGCCGCACGGCGACCTACTGGACTCTTCTGCCCCCCTAATAGGCTCTTCCAGCACCACGACTTACCGTACTGCCGCACTGTGCATAGCACCTCTCTGAAGAACCACCCTTTGGCATGACTGTTGCTGCGTCCTTCGGCCTCAGTGCAGGAGGCACCGGCACCACAGCAGTGAACACAGCACAGACACGAACACAGAAGAGAGTGCGTCAGGAGCAGCAGCGGAAACTGACTCGAAAGAAACAGAAAGCGATTCTAAGACTTGCCGCGCGGCGACCTAGACACTTCTGCCCCCCCTGTAGACTCGCCCAACGACTTACCTTACTGCCATGGGGAGGCGCGATCCGAGCCATGTGGTCCACGTCACCTCTCTGAGAAGCACCACCCCTTGGCATGACTGCTGCAGTGCCCTTGGGCCTCAGTGCAGGAGGCACACACCAACACCAAGCAGCAAAAAAGAGCAGCACAGACACGACCACAGAGAAGAGTGCGTCAGAAGAAGCAGCTGAAACGGAATTGAAAGGAGCAGAAAGCGATTCTAGGACTTGCCGCGCGGCGACCTAGACTCTTCTTCCCCCCCAACAGACCGGCCCAGTGACTTACTGTACTGCCATGGCAAGCCATGGGTGAGGATGCTCGCTTGCACAGCACCTCTCTGAGAAGCACCATCCATTGGCATGAATCCGTGGCGAGCCATGTGGTGAGCATCCTCACTCGCACAGCACCTCCTCCCCGAGGAGCACCTCCTCACCATCTCGTGGCATGGCAGCTGTTGTGCCCTTGGGGCCTCAGTGCAGGAGGCACCGGCACCACAGCAGCCAACACGGCAGAGACACAAGCACAGAGGAGAGTGCGTTAGAAACAGCAGAAGAGCGGACTCAAAAGGGACATAATTCAGTTCTAAAACTTGCCGCGCGGCGACCTAGTCTCTTCTGCCCCCCCAGAAGATTTGCCCAACGACTTACCTTTACTGCCACGGTGAGCCATGTGGTGAGGATGCTCACTCGCACAGCACCTCCTCTGCGAGAATGCACCACCCCTTGGCACGAATGTTGCTGCGTCCTTGGGCCTCAGTGCAGGAGGCACACACCGGTACCACATCATCAAACACAGCACAGAGGAGAGTGCGTCAGAAGCAGCAGCGGAAACAGACTCGAACGAAACAAAATTCGACTCCAAGACTTGCCGCACGGCGACCTAGACACTTCTTTTCCCCCAATAGACCAGCCCAGTGCCTTACCTTACTGCCATGGCGAGCCATGTGGTGAGGATGCTTACTCGCACAGCACCTCTCTGAAGCACCACTCCTTGGCATGACTGTTGTTGTTCCCTTGTTCCTCAGTGCAGGAGGAACCAGCACCACGGCAGCGGACACAGCACAGGTTCGAGCACAGAGGAAAGAAAGGAGAATTAGAAGCAGCAGCGGAAACAGACTCGAAAGGAACAGAAATTGACTCTAAGACTTGCCGCACGGCGACCTAGACTCTTCTGTCCCCCCTCAGTAGACCCGCCCAACAACGTACCGTACTGCCACGGCGAGCCATTTTCCGAGTTTATGGTGAGGATCCTATCTCGTCCAAGTCGGCGAGAATGTTGCTGCTTGGGTCTCAGTGCAGAGCAGGAGGCACCGGCACCACAGTAGCGAACACAGCACAGACACGAGCACAGAGGAGAGTGTGCGTGAGAAGCAGCAGGGAAAACAGACTTGAAAGAAACAAAAATCATTCCTAAGACTTGCCGCGTGGCAACCTAGACAGCTCTTCTTACCCCTCGAAAGATGTGGTCAACAGCTTACCGTACTGCAAAGTAACACAGCTTCTCTCCCCCCTCCACCTTCTCCCTGAAAAAGCTGCTGCTGCTGCTTGGAAGTTCTTCGCCCCTGACCCTGATTCGCTCCTATCCTGGCCCATCCCACACACAGAACACTCGAACCATTGCAGCCAGCACAGCCGAAAACAAAGTACACACGAGAGCGCGTCAGAAGCAACAAAGGAAACAGACTCGAAAGAAACATAAACTGCTTCGAAGACACTTGCCGTGCGGCGACCTAGACACTTCTGCCCCCCTAACAAACCCCGCCCAACCACTCACCGCACAGTCATGGTGAGCCAGATTCTGAGTCAGCTCAGGGGGCGGATCCCTACTCGTGCAGCACCTCCCTAGGACGCACCGCCCATGGTTAATGCCTCTCAAATACGGAGGCATCCTTCCGGGTCGAATCCACAGCTGAAAACACAGCACAGAAACAGAAGGGAGGAGGAGAGTGCGCGTGAGAAGCAGCAGTGGAAACAGACTCGGAACGAATCGAATCGGAAACTTAGTCTGAGACTTGACGCACGGCAACCTAGACAGCTATGCTCCCCCCCGATCGATTCAACCAATTGACTCACCCCGCTGCCATGGTGAGGCAGATACCGAGACGCATCAGCTGTCGATTGGTTACTGGCATAGCGCCTCTCCGCAACGCCTGGGCCTCTCAATCACGAAGGGCCCCCAACCAGAGCAGCGAACACAGCACAGCACAGGAACAAACAAGCACACAAGAGAGTGTATCAGAAGCATGAGAGGAACCAGACTCACAGAAAGCAAAATCTGATTCTAAGACTTGCCGCACGGCGACCTAGACAGTTATGCTCCCCCCCAATAGAGTTGGCCAATTTACTCACCGTGCTGCCATGATGACGCAGATTTCGAGACGAAGTCGGATGGTTACTGCGAGAGCCCCTTCCTAGGATTCGATGCACCACCACGCCTTGGCAGGACCGTTGACGCGTCCGAGGCGCCCTCCAACCAGAGCAGCGAACACAGCACAGCACAGGAACAAACAAGCACACAAGAGAATGTATCAGAAGCATGAGAGGAGACGGACTCGAAGAAGGCAAAAATTATTTCTAAGACTTGCCGCGCGGCGACCTAGACAGCTCTTAGCCCCCCCGATAGACTTGCCCAATTCACTCACCGTCTGCCATGGTACGGCAGATTCCGAAACGCCTCAGCTGTCGATTGGTTAGTGGCATAGCGCCTCTCCGCCACGCCTTGGCCGGACTGCTGACGCGTCCGTGGGCCTCTCAATCACGAAGGGCCCCCAACCAGAGCAGCGAACACAGCACAGAAACAAGCACACAACAGAGTGGCTCAGAATCAGGATAGGAATCGGACTCAAAGAAGCCAAAATCTGATTCTAGGACTTGCCGCACGGCGACCTAGACAGCTAAGCTCCCCCCCAATAGTCTCGCCCAATTCACCCACCGTGCTGCCATGGTGAGGCAGAGTCCGAGACGCCTCAGCAGTCGGATGGTTGCTGGCAGTGCGCCTCCCTGGGCCACATGCGACGCACCGCCACGCCTTGGCCTGACTGTCGACGCGTCCGTGGGCCTCTCAGTGACGGAGCCCCCCCAACCACAGCAGCGAACACAGCACAGGAACAAGCACACAAGAGAGTGAATCAAAATCAGAATAGGAACCGGACTCGAAGGAAACGAAATTTGATTCTACGACTTGCCGCGCGGCGACCTAGACTGTTTTAGCGCCCCCCCACTTGCCCTCTGTACGTACGCACCCTTATATGCTGCGATGATGTTGTCTCTCGCGCTGCTGATTCGGCCGCTCTTGCTCCTGCTGCTCCTGCTGGCGCTGCGACTGCACCTCCCGTGCTCCATCCCTCCTCCCTCCCTCCACACACAGAGCGCACACGACACAGCAGAGGAGTGCGGAGATGCGTCAGAGCAGCACGGAATCAAGGAAGACGGGAACAGAAACAGAAATAAACGACGACGCAAGACACCTACGCGACGACTCCTACGTCCTACGCGACCCCCCCCACTTGTCCTGCGCGCACACGCACCTTCTCATGCCGCTCTGCTGACGTCAGCGTGCTGCGAAGCTTTCTGCTGACGTCATCGCGCTTCGAATCCGCTCTGCTGACGTCAGCGTGTATCGAATCCGCTCTGCTGTCGTCATCGCGCTTCGAATCCGCGTGCAGTCAAACACAACTGCACTGTTGCTGCCGATACCACCAAGCTTCAACCCGCAGTCGACACCCGTTGCTGCTGGGCTAAGCCCGCGTCGCCGCTCTCTCACACTGCTGCTTGCCACTGTCTAGCCACGTTCGATTCCTTGCACATGTTGCTCTGCGTTCCACCATGTTGTATCTTTCGCCGTCATTTCTCGAACGGCGAAAGTAGGCGAAACCAGTGAATCACGGCAAACAACCGCAGCAGTTGTGCGAAAGGAAGCGACACTCCACGAACGGCAGCAGCTGTGCGAAAGGCAGCGATACTCCGCGAATGGCAGCAGCTTTGCGAAAGGAAGCGACACTCCGCGAGCGGCAGCAGCTGTGCGAAAGGCAGCGACACTCCGCGAGCGGCAGCAGCTGTGCAAAAAGCAGCGACACTTCGCGAGCGGCAGCAGCTGTGCGAAAGGCAGCGACACTCCGCGAACGGCGGCACCTGTGCGAAAGTCAGCGATACTACTCAACGAACGGCAGTAGCTGTGCGAAAGGCAGCGATACTCGGCGAACGGCAGCAGCTGTGCGAAAGGCAGCGATACTTGGTGAACGGCACCGAAAGTCGCCAAGAGCCAGCAGAATCCGGTAAATGACAGAGAAACTTGGCGCACGCAGGGAGCAAACTTGGCGAAAGGCAGAGAAACACCGCGAACGGCGGCAACGAACTCGGCTAACTTCAGCGACACTCGGCGGAGGGCAGTCAAACTCGGCAAACGACATCGAAAGCCGGCGACAGGCAAAATTGGAGAAATGGGATGGCTGGATGAAAGGTCGCGTGTAAGCACGGCGTGTATAGAGACGGTATTGCGCGTCGCATTAGCACGGCCTCGAAGAAAAGGTCCAGCAAAGTGACCAGCTAAGCCACTTTGTTCATGTCGTTATTCCGTCAAATGATATAAGGCCACATGTTGAAACTTGCAAAATTCGTCGTACGTCACTGAAATGCTTTCTGGAAGTCGCTACTCAGAATGGAGCCATTCTGCAACTTAGAACCGGTTATCAAGGTCGCTAATCCATCCTGCGCCTTTGGACCGCGTACTAAGGTCGAAAACCTATCCTGCATCGCTAATGCCTCCTGCATCTTAGAGCGACCTTAACGCAGTCTGCTATCTTACCCTCCGCTAGAACGCATTCTGCAACCGTATCATGGATCAATATCGAACCAGAACTGACGAGTTGCCGACGCAAGCTAATATCTAAGGTGGAACGTTATAAAAGAGTCAACTGGCCCAGTTAAGTCAAGACGAAGCGTTTCATACCGGAAAATTCGCGTACTAACTTCGCTCCAGGCGGATTAATCTCTACCAGCTAACGAGTCCTGACTATTGAAAGCTGGGCCGACAATGGGAAGCCGTGAGCTTGGAAAGAGGAGGAAGAGTTGTGTCGGCTGGGAAGGGAGCTGTGTTTGAAACAGCCAAAATATCAGGGGAGGAGGACTTGATGTCAGAATCGGCGGCTCTGACAACTTGGATGAGAATTGGCGGCGAAATCGAGGCGCAAAGTGTTGGAACCTTGCAGCCCGAACTAATTACAATGAATGACAGCATAACAGTCGTTCTAAACACATGAAAGGAATAGAATCTACGTACATATAAAAATGTGTGATTGTTGTATACCTATGTAGCTGTGTAACCGCCTATTACCAAGCCAGGAAGGGCGTGGAAGGGTTGCGAGCATCATAGCTCATCGACGCTCGCGAATGAAGAGCGCCCGCTGCTCTTCCTGCAAATGTGCGGATCCTTCCGTGTTTTGGGGGTGGAAGCACTCGTTCCGAGCGTTTTTCTTCTGCCGGGTCACGTGGCTGCGCTTTTCTGGGCCTATTACCAAGCCAGCAAGGGCGTGGGAGGGTTGCGAGCATCATCGGTCATCGGCGCTCGCGAATGAAGAGCGCCGCTGCACTTCCAGCACATGTGCGGATCCTTCCGTGCTTTGGGGGTGGAAGCGCTCGTTCCGAGGGTTTTTCTTCCAACGTGTCACGTGGTTGCGCTTGTCTGGTCCTATTACCAAACCAGCAAGGACGTGGGAGGGCTGCGAGCATCATCGGTCTTCGGCGCTCGCGAATGAAGAGCGCTCGCTGCTCTTCCTGCACACGTGCAGATCCTTCAGCGTTTTGGGAATGGAAGCGCTCGTTCCGAGCGCTTTTCTTCCGCCGGGTCACGTGGCTGCGCTTGTCTGGTCCTATTACCAAGCCAGCAAGGGCGTGAGAGGGTTGCGAGCATCATCGGTCATCGGCGCTCGCGAATGA